CTCTTCTTGCAAATCGCCATTCAAGAAAGCATTTTTGACATCCAGTTGATAAAGAGGCCATTGTTGAATAGCGACCATGGCAATGAATAAACGAACGGAAGCCATCTTTGCCACTGGAGAGAAAGTATCACCATAATCCAACCCAAAAATTTGGGTATAGCCTTTGGCTACAAGGCGAGCTTTGAGGCGATCAATAGTACCATCAGGACCAACCTTGATAGCGAAGACCCACCCGCAACCAACAACAGATTTTCCGGATGGTAATGGGACAAGCGTCCGGGTTCCACTAGTCCGAAGAGCACCGAGTTCATCTAGCATGGCCTCGACGCCAACCAGGGTGGGCTAAGGCTTCAGAGACAGATTTAGGAATAGACACAGAAGAAATAGACGAGAGACAGGTATAAAATGGTGAAGAAATTCGATGATAACTTAAAGCGGTATAATGTGGAGAAGGATTACGAGTAGAACACATACCTTTACGAAGGGCAATAGGAAGGTCGAACTCGTGGACTGGAACCGGAGGAGGCAGAGTATTTGGCACTGGGAGTGAGTCATGTGGCGTCTGTTGTGGGCGAGGTCTGCGACTATAAACCCGAAGGGGTGGTGGAGGAGGAGGGGCTAATGGTGGATGGTCCTCAACATAAGGATCAATGAGAACAGGAATGGGAACCGTAGCAGATGGAGACTCGAGCAGTAGGGAAGGGTCCTTAAAGTAAAAGGAAAACTCATTGAAGGTGACATCGACGGACACAAAATAGCGATTAAGAGAAGGAGAAAAACACTTGTATCCTTTTGGGATCGAGTAAATCCTAAGAAAACACATTTGTGTGATCGAGGAGATAACTTATCATGACCAGGATCAAAATTGTGGACAAAACGAGTAGACCCAAAAACCTTCGAGAGGTAAAGGATGGAGAGTGTCATGAGGAAATAAAATAGAATGGGGAATTCTGTTATCTAAAACCGAAGAGGGCATACGATTAATAAGATAACGAGCGAGTAAGAACAGCATCACCCCAAAAATGTTGAGGAACCTCACCATGAATTAAAAGAGTACGGGTTGTTTCAATAAGGTGTCTATTCTTGCGCTCAGCCACCCCATTTTGTTGAGGGGTATAAGCACAGTAAGTTTGATGAAGAATGCCATGAGAAGCCATAAATTGTTTAAACGAGTTTGAAAGATATTCACGGCCATTATCACTTCGAAAAGTTTGAATAGAGACACCAAATTGATTTTTAATTTCATGATAAAAGTTTTGGAATATAGAAAACAACTCAGAATGATTTTTCATTAAAAATAACCAAGTACAACGAGAGAAATCATCAATAAAAGTAACAAAATATTGAAAACTTAAATTAGACTTAACACGACTGGGTCCCCAAATGTTAGAGTGAACTAAGGCAAAGGGGGATGAAGCACGCTGGGAAACACTACGAGAAAAGGAAGTACGACTATGTTTGCCTAACTGACAGGACTCACACACCAAATTGGACAACTGGGATAAGCTGGGAACAAGTTGTTGTAATTTGCTCAGACTGGGGTGACCAAGCTGAGCATGAAGGAGAGAAGGAGACTCCATAACTGTGCCAACATGTGGAGAAGGTTGAAGATAATAAAGTCCATGTGACTCACATCCGGTGCCAATTACTCTTTGCGAGCTCCGGTCCTGTAGGGAAACAGTAGTTTTGGTCAAAGAGATAACACAATCAAGAGATCGAGTTAGACGGCTAATGGATAATAAGTTAAAGGGGAACCCGGGTACATACAAAACATTATCAATGGACAACGAGGAAAAAGAGTAACCGTTCCAACACCATGAGCTAAAGTTGTAGACCCATTAGCCATTGTAACGGAGGGTAAATTATGAGAAGTGAAAGAGGAAAATAAGGATTTGTTACCGAGTGATGTGATCGGTGGCGCCTGAGTCAAGAACCCAAGGGCCAATAGAAGAAGAGTGAGTCAGACCAAGAAAAGATGTACCTGTGTGGGCAACGAAGTAGTGGAACCGGAGGGCTTTCGATCCTCATACCATTGAAGAAAATCATTGAAGATAGCAGATTTGTCCGAAGGTACGAGACGAAGGAGGATCCACAGCAGAGGATTGTGCGGAAGAATCGGCCCGAGCAACTGCAGCGAGATCGGCGAGGATAACCATGTAAAGCATAACATTTGTCAATTTTGTGGCCTAGTTTGCCACAATGGTCACACTTGACACGCCCTTTGCCCGGCTTGTGAGAGCGATTACGATCATCACGGTGAGAGGCCAAGGCGGATGAATCATTAGAAACTACAGGGGGAATATTGAGAGGTTTACATGGCACCCGCAAAGGGAGGAACTGGTAGCGGTAAAGCTGGGTGTAACAGGGGAACCCAAAATCCGATCACGAACAGGGGCATATATATCGAGCAAGTCCGTGTAACATCAAAACCATGAAAAACTTTGATCGTTGCTCTAATTCTTGGGCAGGAGTCGAGGCAGGGGGTAATAACTCATTAAATTCATGGAGAAGAGCATGGATCTTACCCACATAATCCGCCACAGGATCCTTATCTCGAGGAGCAATAACAAGCAAGAAGATTGTAACAAACACCATAAAGACGTTGAGTGTCATTGGTGTATAATAATTTGGCTTGTTCCCAAACGTCATAACATGTGCCATACGATCGAAAAATTTGTTTTAAAGAAGATTGGATGGTATTCTTGAGAACCATACATATATGAGCATCAACTTTCTTCCAACGGACACGATCATTGGAAGGAACATCATCTACCTTGGTAGTAAGATGATCAACATACCCCGACTCTCAAGCCAAAGTCTAATATCGGATGCCCAAGTTGCATAATTCGTACCATCTAATTTATCAATGGGTAAATTCACATTGACATAATTAGTAAAAACAGATTGCTCGGACCCACCGGAGCCGACGGAGGTAACTTCAGAATTGGAAGTGGCAGCGGAAGATGCCATGGAGGAAGAGAGAGAAAAACCCTAAAACACCAAAGAGGTCCGATTGGAGCAGCGAGGACAGATCCAGAGAGAGGAGAAGGAGGCGACGCCGGCGCAAAGATCGGCGGCCTGAACGGCGGCGAGACGCGCCGCCACGCGCGGCGGAACGGGAGAAGGTGGCGCGGCTTCGGGAGGCGCGTGAGGGAGCGTGGCTGCTCCGATGACCGCGAAACTTCCACGGTGGAGGTCGCACGGAGGAGGCGAGCAAAACCCTGTGCTCGGCGGTCCGAACTGCTACTCTGGCGACGGCGGCGGCGACGGACGGCGGTGGCGACGGCGGCGGCGATGGAGGCGGCGACAGCTGCAGGTTCAGTGGCAGAGCCAAAAAAAAATCCCAAGAGACCTTAAGCTCTTGATACCATGTTGAATATAGGAAAAAACTGTATAGGGTTAATTTCCCTTATGTGTTTACCACACATAGGGCAGTGTATTTATAATAAAGAAAGGTACTCCTCAAAAGAGTAACAGAATACAAATAGGTTAAATAAAAAGATATTATTTGATATTGTGATTAACAATATCTAACAATATCTCAACAATATCAAACAATATCAACTAATATCTAATCATATCTAACAGTTTCTATTAAAAAATAAAAGTATGCAACATGCCACTTTCAAGTATTTGATTTTGCCTCATTAAGGCCTTCAGCTAATAGAACACTTTGCTTTTTTTTCATATCTTAATATGGGAAGTGCACAGGCCTTGATGGAATGGAGTGAAAGGTGCGTTGGTAAGAACAAACTACGATCACAGGCAAATTACGAATTACACTCAGATCATCTCCAGCTGACAGCACCCTCCTTAAGGAGGGAGAGAGTGAGAAACTTATCCCATGTCTCTTTTTTTTCTCTTAGTGGAAAATAGTACAGCTGCAGAAATGAGTCTGACGAGATAATTTTGGTGCAAATGAATGAATCACATGATAAAACGTTTATAACAAAATATAAGTTCATACGGGATTGCTAAATCGGAAAAATGTCAATAAGGAAATGCCAATGTCCGTTATCTTGTTTCCGTGCTTGTTAATATGGGGAATTGGCTGTTTCGGGATGAGATTGATGCTTACTAACATCCTATCATGTGGAATCTTACCTACCATTTAGATGTAAGAAGTGAATTTATGTATTTCAACTGGTTTTTGGTTTTTTCACTAATGTTTTATATTATAAGAGTATCTCCAATGAAAGTTGCTACCAAAAGTTGCTTAGGAATAAAAGTGAATATTTTATTATGGATCCTACATCTGAGTTGCTTAAAAATGGAGAAAGTTGCTTAAAATTGGAAGAAAGGTATTTGGATAAACAACTTTGACCATGTTTTAAACAACTAAACTATGAAATCTATAATAAAATATTCAATTTTATTCTTAAGCAACTCTAGTTAAAAACTTCGATTCCCTTAAATTTTATTGCCATGGCTGAAGAAAAACTATTGATATGAGAACTCGGTAGAATCTCCAAATGTTTGATAAAATAGCAGAGATTTCATCTTTTTACAAGTTTTGTTTGGCTACATGTCGCGATTCAACATAATAAGGGAGGGGGTTAAGGTGTTCTTGATCCGTGTAATTCTGCTTAGACTAGCAGATATGCGGTTTCCACAACATTGTTCTTTTCCAAGATGATCTATTCCCTATTTCCCATTTTATTTTTTCACAGTATTCAATTCCTAAAGCCCAACCTCTCCACATGTGGCTACAATTGTTACAAACTCATTTGATGATAACACACTCAGTATGAACTACAAGGTCCATAATGAATCCTAACTAAATCAACGAACAAGTGTGAAATAAAACAAGGCGCCATAGTAGAAAATAGTGAAACTGCATGATTCAAAGAAAACCAGCTTCAATTCCTATGCACCATTCTAAATTTGCTTTTCCTTCAGCAAACAAGGCATAATCTACACAGCCATAAATAATTGAACAGAAGAAAACAAATAAACGCAATGAAGAAGAGGCATAGACATACAAGCTGATGTAGGAGTATCTATTGCGCAACACCTTGTTGTTCTTCAAGGTTCTTAACATGAGCCTTGAGAGTCATTAGAAGTTCTCTAGCAGGAGCCTGAAGGGTTCCGACGAGAGCAGAAGCAGGGCTCTGGAGAGCCCCCAAAAGAGTGGCATAAATTTGGGCGCGCGTGGGTAAAGTCTCAAGCTTCTTAAACTCGTCGGGGCCGTAAAACTTGCCCTCGAAAACGGCGCCGGTGAAGTCGTTGTCCTCGAGCTTCTTCTCCTTCTGGAAGTCCCTGTAGGGTTTGATGGCGGAAGGGATCTCCTCGGTGTGGACGAAGAGCCAGACGTTCATGCCCTTCATGCAGGGCTTGAGCGTCTCCCAGGGGGTCCCCTCCACGGCCTTGTACACCAGCGTGTTCTTCGCCACGATCAGCTTTGTGATCTCCGGGAGCGTCTTCCGAAGCTCCTGGAACTGCTTCACTGTGAACCCCTTGTAGTTGATGCCGGCCAGGAGGTAGCAGTTTTCCAACTGTTCCCGCACCGTCTCCACAGTTTCCTCTTTCTTCGTCCGGGGAATCGCCGCGCGGATGGAGGGGAGGCGCGCGGGGGCGCGGTGGACCAGGCCCTGGGAGGGGAGGGTGAATGGATTGGCGGGTCGGTTTAGGAGTTGGTATCGGGCTTGGGCTTGGGCTTGGGCTTGGGGCTTGGTGGAGGAAATGGCGAAGGTGATCGCAGAGGCAGCTGTTTCCATGGTGGGAATTGGGAAATGGGAGAAAGATGGATGGCACTGTGGAGTGGCGTTGGCTTATCTTATCGCTTTTTCCATATTTGGTGGTGTGTTTGTGGTACCGGTTTTGATTTCACCCATCACCATTTGACACTTGGCTTATTTCTTGTATTTACACCAAATACACTAAAAATTAAGCCATACATTTAGATTGAAGGATACTGTCAAATATTTCGATTTCTATAGATAAACATAATGGTATCATTGCTCAAACACTAAATGTTGATAAACATATAACATTATTTTATTTTATTTTTCTAATTATTATATTTCTCTACCTTATACTTTTGTCACTTCTTAAGGTTAGAAGTTCATTATTTTGTACTTTGTGTATATATGGAACAATATAAATAGTAGTTTATATGTGTATTTTTTTATCTTATTTTATAATTTATTGACAAAAAAAAAATCTATCATAAAAGTATATTATGGATTGGGAGAGGTTAATTGGGGGAGAGTGATTCATTACCTAATCACTTATAAACTAGGATAAAAATAATACTTTAGTTTATAATAAAAACATTTCTATGAAAAGAGTTAAACATGTCCTAACAGATCTAGTATGATTTTCATCAGTCAAGTAGTTGTTAAGAGAAACTAGTATTGTTCATTATGGAAGTGTGCTAATAAAATATTTTTATTTAATTAATATAACATGCACACAAGAATATTCATTATGAATCCTTCAATATCGCTTAAATTCGTTTTTTTTTTTGACAAAGTCAAAACCCACAATGAATATCACAAGTTAGTAGTGCAATAATTGGTTTCTCGTGTGTGTGTGTGTGTGTGTTTTCTGGGAGACGGAAAATAAACTACATTACATGAAAATTATATTCAATCCTTGACATAACTGTATAGTATATATTAACAAAGTTGGAAAAGAAAAGAACATGGGCATGAAGGAATGAAGAAGGGGAGAGATATGGGAAAGCATGAGTTCTATAGTATAGTTTTCTGTTAGTCACAAATGCACATGTCATTTTGTTTTTTGGTAGTTACGTCATGCTACTATATTTGGAAATATACAAGTGTGCTAGTGTTTTTCTTTCTTCCCTTTAAAAATCTTGGTCCAATTTGGTATTACCTTCATTTTCTTCTTAACAATGAAAGGACTCACAGGACGAGATCCAGGTGAAGATGCCTTCTGAAACTTATATCCCCTAGAAGGTGTCATACTACCTTCATATTTTTTGCTCTTTCTTAACGAGACATGTTGCAACTCTTCATTGTTAACTCTCTTTGGAACCATCTTTTCTTTAGCATACACTTCCAGCTTTGCCGCAGCTATCTTGGTCTTCATCGTTGTCTCCTTCTCCTTGGCCTTCATAGCTTCAAACCACGCCTTAGCTGCTTCAACTTTCTTGTCAGCAATTTCTTTTGCCTCGGTTGCATGGTTAGTCAAATACTCATATTCAAACTTTGATATCATAATCAAGGAGTTATGCTTTGATAAACTTCTCTCTCTCATGGCATTCTCTGTCAAAATCTTCAACTTCTCTAAGGCTAAGGCTTCCGATGAGTTCACTATTTCTAACTCTTGCATGGCACCTTGTAATCTTTCCTCATTCTCGTTTATCTCCAACAAAGCCTTTTTTATCTCTTCTTTAGTGGTTGTAATCTCTTCTTTTATAAGCTCTTTCTCTTTTTTTGTTACTTCTATTTCGGACATGAATTTATCAAGAGTTTGTGACAAGTTAATAACTATTGATTTGGCCCTTTCCTCACTAGCAGACACCGCTTCTAGCTTAGATTTTGCTCTCAAAAGCTTGTAGCTCACATTTCTAACTTTTGTACCTATTTTTGATTCTATATTCTTAGATTGAACAGTTTTGGCTTTCATTTGCTTCAACTCATTTCTTGTAACATCCATAGAGGCCATGAACTTAAAACCTTGATCTCTAATCAAAGCTAAATCTTTCTTTGTCGCCTCTATTTCTTCTTTTATAGTCTTTAAAACAGCAACATCTCTTGATTCTCCTTCCATATGCTCCATGCTCTCACCACTTTCAACCTTTTTATTCACCAACTTCAATTTATTCTTCATGATATCAATATCAGACAATGTTGTGGCCAATTTAATTTCAAGATCTTTTGACTCATCTATTTCCACGATGGCCTCTTTCAACTTGTTTCTTGCATTTTCAAGGGCTTCGATGTCTCTTATTTCTTTCAAAGCGTCCATCCGGGCCAATTCAACTACTACTTGTTCTTCATTGGTTGCTTCAATCTCCTCCATCAATTTTTGTGCAATTCTTGAGCATGACAACATGTTGGATCTCAATGCTTCAATTTCCTTCTCTGCTCTCAATTTCTCTTCCAAAATAGAATCCATGTCGAGCTTAAGTTGAAACAATTCTTTTTTAGCAATTTCTAATTCTCTCATCACTCGTGAATACTTATTATCACTATCATTCTTGCTTGGGTTCTTATACACTAGTGATGTCATGTCTCTCATTTGGGTTTTTCCCTTGAAGCTAGATTCCCTGATCATAGAGAAAAGATCTTTCACCGTCTTTTTAGCAGTAGAAAGCTCAGTTTCTGCTTGAGCTTTTACAGATTCTGCACTTTGTTTCCTCTCTCTGTACAAGACAATATCCCTTCTTGTTCTGTGTAGTTCTTTTACTTTTGGAGAGCTCTTCTAATAAATATTCAATAAAATAAATAATGTTGTTACCACATGCTCTCTCAAAGGATACATAGAGAAACAAAATGTTGAATTATTTTATTTAAAAATAAAAACAACGGTGCCTTGAAAATGTCACAATTAACACAAGTGAGCAAAATAGATTGAATGATGTTTTGATGTGGTTAAGAAGTGGTTAAGAAGAACATCACAAAATTTAGTCTTTAACCGAAGTAAATAATGTCTTGTAATATATGTAAAAGACGTCACGGATAAGATTATAATTGTTAGTATTGTGTGTTGATGTGATTTTTCAAAAAATCTTTTAAATCTAGGTTATAATATAACAGTGTCAAACTCACTTGTTAACACTGTTATTGAGAAAAAAAAAATTTACAAAAAAAGTCTAGTATAGTAAATGACGTAAACTTCATGTAAATGAAGATGAATGAGTGACATACAATTGAGAAATCCGGTTTAAGCATAGGAGTGTTAACATCTGCAACCCTGATACCATATAAGTTAACAACAGCTTTAACCAAACCAACGCTTGTAGTGTTACCACTGGGCTTTGAGGTTGAACCATCCATATTTATATATCCTATTTGTGTTAGAAACCAAAACCAAAACAAATAGTCAATTTTTGTTACGGTGTATCACTACCTTCTATTCATAAACAAAATTGTTCAATAAAAATAATATAACTTTGAATTAACAGTAGGAAAAGGATACAGAAAATACAGAATAAGCAATTATACGAAGACTTGAAATGCCTGACCTCAATGAGTGCTGTTTGAGAATTGTCAGATAAAAAATAAAATGTAGGAGGGAGAAGGTTCGTGGATGAGGGAGAATGTTTGTGGATGAGAATTATAACAAAATAAGCTCGAAGATTGAGAAGGTACAGAGTGTGAGGTCCACACCACTGACTGTGATTAAGACGTGTCATTGTTAAGTTGTTCTCAAATTTATTTTATTCCGATGAATCAATGCATTAAAATATCATTCTCGTTCTTTGTCAATTACATACAAAATAATAATATATGCTACTGATTCTCGTACAACTTTTCCTTCCATCCACACCAGCTTACACGTCATTTATTATTTATTTCTTTGATGAGATGGCAAATCAGGTTCTAATAAAAAGAAAAAAAGTAAAAAAATAAATAAATGGAAACTCAAAAAACCGAGACTCCCTTTGTAGCAGGAAATCGGGACTCAAGGAAATCAAAATAAAGAAACGGGGAAGAAAGAAATCATTGTCGTCGGAGAGACGACTCTCCACTTGCGTCGCACCTTCGTTGGCTTACGTTACCCTCCCTATGTTCTCGGTGAGTCTTAATTGCAACAAATTTTGTTAAAACAAAGGAAGCGATGAACGGGCATTCAAGGGCCTCTCCTTATCTTCTTCCTTCTTCTTCGGCGCTGCTTCTCTCTGCGTAGGTCCCACCTCTTTGGTCTGCCTCCCGTGCCGTCACCCGCTCACCATCGAGAACGCGCACAAGAAGGGAGCGGAAAGCACCAAGAATGGCTGCGACTCGCAGAGCAAGCGCCTCGGTGTCAAGATTTACGGCGAGCAGGTCGCCAAGCCCGGTTCCATCATCGTTCGCCAGCGCGAAACCAAGGTGCCTCCCTTACGATTTTCTCTTACGCTTTTCGAAGAATTCGAATTGTGAGGCTGTAATTCACGCTAGGGAGGAGTGTTGTGTTTTCTTTACTAGTTCGAACTTCTAAAAGAGAAAAAAATACGGGAAAAAAATTTACTTTTATAAGTAAAATTAGCTTGTGTACATATAATTTATTCATTTTTAAGTTATATATAAACTAATTTTAACTTCTTTTTTTTTTTGCAGTTTTTTTCTTAGAAGTTGTTATGGAAAAACTCTTCCAAACATATTCTAAATGAAATAGTTGTCTTATTGGAGTGTATTCGGATAAGCTAATTTGTTTAAAATTTTATTTTTAATTTATGCACGATAATTAAGTTTGGTGATTTTCTATCTGAATTGGGTGGAATGGGGTGGAATTCAATTTGAAGAGAAACTAGTTGAATGTTGAGCATTTTCCATGAACTTCCCTGTTGTTTGTTGGAGTTTCACCTTGATAATGGATGGTATATCTTTAATGCAATCCTTTATAGACATTACGGGTTTAAAACTTTAGTTAGGATTAGACAACATTACCAAAAGCACATGAGGAATTGTCTTTTCATAAAGGACAAAACTTAGGTGTTGAATCTAATGTGTTTTTTGGTGTATGTCTTGAAAATTTTCCTTGGTAATATGTGCAATGAAGGTTGATGTAGTTATTAATTATGATAAAGATTATAATTTTAGTTGGAGGATAAGACCATAAGAACATAATGTACAGTGAAGATTTGTTTGTGGTTGAAAGAAATAGTAGTGATAGTCTCAGTTAATGGGTTACATACTGATGTGATCTGGATAGAAAAATTTCACTTCAAGAAGATCAACTAGAAATGAAGATTAGGACCATGATCGGCCTTGCTTATCTCCATAGGGAGTGGTGCATGGTGCTTCTTCAAATATCATAATCTTGGCCTATCTCCTTTGTGAGTGATGCCTACCCCTTTCAAATGGCATAGTGCGTGCTCCATTTTTAGAGTAATTTCTTCCTTCTAAAGGTGTCCTCTCTATGTTGGCCTCCTCCTTCCTACTCTGTCTTCAATTCTTGGTTTTCTCTCCTCTCTTGGCTAATCTTAGTGCAAGCATACCTCCTTCATAACAACCAAGAACCACCATTCACCAACCAAGAATTCATTCATACCTTGCCCCCACCTCACGGCCAAGGTGTTCTTCGGGGAACCAATCCAAAAACCAAGCCAAAGTGCCTTAACGCTTTAAGTTGAAGGTCCAATCTGTTCTTGAGGCATGAGTGGTTCTCTATCACATACACTTGCATAGTAACAGTTTTGTGTGTCCTTTTGTTTTGATTTTCAAATGGTGACTGAAGATTGATGGTTTGCGGATGGTGATGGTGATGGATTGGCTCCAGCTTTTCTTGCTTTTTATTTATTGATTCAATGCTTTAATGACATTGTCAAATAGTTTATTACTAAATTGGTGCCTGGAATAAGAATATACATGAATGTGTATTGGAAACCACATCTGTAATAATCAATGTTTAGTGGACTATCCAATGGCTAAAAAATGAATACAAAAAGAACAAAGAATGAGTAGGTTCTTCGGACTAGATGACGTGCTTTGTGCAATCAACAATGTTGCAATAGTTTCTTTTGATGATTGCTTATTATACTAAAGCTATTCTGTAACTTTTATAACACTTTATAAACCGGAAGAAAGCATTTCTCGGAGTTGCTCAGTCCTCACCATTTATTCAATTGCAGTGAAGTGTCTGTTTCCCTTTTTTGTGTATTATGATAAGGCTTAAATTGTTCATTTGATCAATTTATTTTTCACGAGTTAGCAAATAAATCATTAGGCCCATTGTCATATTGTTAATGCTGCTTAAAAAATCACCAAGTACTCTTGGCCACTCTGTAAATAGAATTACCCTCATTTCCTGAGTCCTTCATTAGGCTTGTAAAAGTAAGGTCATGTGGGAGATGCAACTCTAGCTATGATTCCTTGTACTTCTTCTTATCAAGGAGCTAATTTTCAGTTTCTAGCTTTGAGCCTATTCTTGGTACTTGAATAATGTGGCCTTGCATGGGATTGATGCTATGACCTATGCTGAACTCTTAAACATAGATGCTACGGCTTTAGAATAGAATACTTTTTAGCTTGGATTGTCACTCCAATAAATGCTTTCCCCCCTCTAATCTTTAAGAACTTTTCAAATCTTCACGTTTTACATTCTTGTTGTAGGTAGTTGTCAGGAATATCCCTCATATGCCTGCTCACTCAATATCAGATTTTGTGGATGGCTTCTTTCAAAAAAGCCACCTTGACCATTATATTGGACACCAGGTAATAGTTTTATTTCATTCTTGGTTGGAGAAGTTTATTAAAGATAAACTAATCAGGGAATTTATATATAGTGTAATGTTAATTTATTTTAACTCAACAGAATATTTCTTTACATTAAATGATTCATATTGTTATGAATTAATATTTCTTCGGGCTGCTACAATGCGAAGAAATTCGTTGAATATGCGAAAAGAAGAGATAGACTTCAATATTGGCTGGACTATTACCAGCTTAAGTTCGAGAGACATCCTGACAAGAGGCCCACAGTCAGGGTATGTAATTACTAGGAATGTACGCAAGTACAATATGTGACTAATAACCTGTTTGGACCCTGAATCTGACATTGTTATTTTTCTTATTTTTAGAATGGATATTTAGGTCTTTGGGGTGGGAAAGTTGTTAAGTACTACAAGCATGCAGTCACAGACCTTGATAAGCTGGCTAGTCATGTTTGTTTCTCTTTTCTCTGCCATATTACCTTTATACAGTTATTTCCTTTTTTGTTTTTAAAACTGTATGGTAATTTTCCGTGTCTTTATGTATACCAGGTGGAACTAAAAGATAGTAGTAACCTACTTGCTTATTATGATTTTAAAGTTTATGAATTGTAGTTTGTTTGTTTGTATTTAATTATTTGCTTCTGTTGTTGATGTGTCTTCATTTCAAAATTATATGTCTACTCATTTTAAGAACTTACAATAACAAATGGTCACGCAGCACAAGGAATGAGTCATTCTATAGACTTACCATTCATCAATACAAGCAACCGACTAAGTAGTTTCCTTGAATCTCTCGGAAACAGTTTCTCCAAGTAGTGGCATGGCATGGAGACAATTCAATGGTGGTAAAGGACATGGGATTGCAACAAATGGACGCAATGATGGAATAGTTGAAGTTGCACTAGATGGAGGCAATGATGGAACAACGGAAGAAGAGAGTAGACAAACGATGATTTGAGGGGATTGATGTAAAAAAAATGACAAATGACAATTTAAATTAAATTAGTTTAATACAATAATGTAATTTTGTTGAATTTCAGATTTTTCAATTTAGTTAAGTTATATGAATTAAGTTTGTTAACGGGCTATCTTGGTTGACCTAAAACTACTTTATGTAACTCTTGTCTATATTTATTATATTTATATTATGGTGGTCCTAATTGGAAAAATGTGGTGTTGTAATGGTTATGGAAGTAAGTTGGTTCTTTTACTGAATATATAACAAGAAGTATTGATTTCAGCGGACACTAATAAATATATCATTAAATAAATAATAGTAATTTTTGTTTCTCCCTTGATGATCAAAACACAATATTGTAATACTATAACAACATTTTGTCTATATTATCCTAAAAATATATGGACGTAAATACGGTTCTTAATGTTCAATATGACTTATCTAATGCAACAAATGTATTTATTTAAGGCTCTCAAATCCTCCATTGCTACATAGTGACGTGACATAGCATCTTGGTGTCATTAGATTCAATGTCTCATTTGAATAAATAAAGTTGGTAAACATTGTTTAAAATCTTAGTTAATTCTTCACAAAATTAGTTAATGTAGTGGTCATGTGGAAAAATTAACTGGAGGACATTCAACAATAAATTCATACAACAAGTACATTGATTCAAGACTCTCAAACCCTATTTCGGAACATGGGGGTATGGAATAACACCTTGGGATCATTAGGTTGAGTGTCCTATCTAACAAAACATAGTTGTTTAACATAATTCAAAATCTTGGTAAATCTTTCACAAAATTGGTTAAGTTAATGGTCATTTAGAAAAAATAACTTAAGCATTTAGTAGCGAATCCATGCAACAACCTTGGTTTGGCACATAGTACCTTAGTATCACTAGGTTGAGTGTCGCATGTAACCAAATACAATTAGTTAACACAAATCAAAATTCTGGATAATTCTACACAAAATTGGTTAAGTTAGTGGTCATGAGAAAAAATTAAGTTGAGAATATTCAGTAGAAATCCATGCAACAAATGCGTTGATTCAAGGTTTTAGACCCTGATTTGGCACAAGGGAGAATGACATAACACCTTGGTATAGGTTGGGCGTCCCATTTGACTAAATATAGTTGGTTAACATAATTCAAAATCCTGGTTAATCCTTCACAAAATTGACTAAGTCAATGGTCATGTGAAAAATTAACCTAAGGCCATTCATTAGTAAATGCATGTAAGAAATGCATTTTCAAGGCTCTCAGACCTACTTTAGGACATAGGGGTGTGACATAGCACCTTGGAGTCACTAGGTCGAGTGTCCTCTCTCACCAAACACAATTTAAAGCATTGATTATTCTTCAAAAAATTCGTTAAGCCAACTATCATGTGAAACTAACTTGAGAGCATTCAGTAGTGAATCCGCAAGACTGATTCAAGGCTTTCAAACCCTGCTTTAACACATGAGGGCATGACATAGTACCTTGGTATCACTAGGTTAAGTGTCGCATGTGACCAAATATAGTTGGTTAACACAATTCAAAATCTTGATTAATCCCTTGACGAGTTACGCACCCGAGCAACCAATTATACATGAATGGAAGATAACAATGTCCGATACAAGAAAAAGCATAGCATTGACTCTTGAGCATCTTCTACTCAACCTTTTAAAAAGCCTAGGACCACAAAATATGAGCGACATACACCCTTAAACATTAATCAGGAAACAATCCTTCAAGAAGTGTTTAATTTGGAACTCATACATGCCCCCTCCACCACTACCCACACCGGTTCATGAGGATACGACAAGTATTGTCGATTTCATTGAAATTATGACATACCACAGAAGAATGTCAAAAGTTTAAAGACCTTATTGAATAACCCATGAGGGCAGGATCGCTAACACAGTTTATAAGTAATGAAGCAGATAAGGGACAAGGTCGTGGCCACGGTGGATTTAGGGGACGAGGCTGAGGAAGATGAGGAGGATTTTATGGACAAGTCGTGGTCGCGACGCTCTTCCGTTACCAACACCCCATAAAATCAACAAAATCATGCTGAACGTCAAGAAGTCGGGGATGAAAGGACGAACAACCCAACGCTCGTCATTCGGGGTGTCATCAATACTATAGCAGGGGGTTTTGCAGGAGGAGGATCATCAAATTCCGCCCAAAAAAGACATCTCAGGGTTGTCCACAACGTTGATACCTCACATAGAAGGGCACAACCACCTATAACCTTTTCCGACGAGGACTTCAAATCTCATGAGTCAAATCTCGATGACCCAGTTGTAGTCACAGTACTAATGGTTGTTAGGATCGAGCGCTTACCACTAGGCCAAAAGTTATAGTCATTAGTCAGAGCGCAACTCTTTTTCCTTTAACAGCCCAAGCACCACGATTCGATTGTGACTCGGCTCACCTGGCCTTCGCCACGAGACAATTGTGCAACCCGCAACAATCTCCTCCTCAACAATTGTCCATCAAGAATCGAACTCGTGACATTGGCTCTGATACCAATTGTTAGGATTGAGCGCTTACCACTAGGTCAAAAGCTTTATAAATCATTAGTCAGAGTGCAACTCTCTTTACTTTAACAACCCAAGCACCACGATTCGATTGTGACTCGGCCCACCTGGCCTTCGCCACAGGACAATTGATGCTACCTGCAATAATGGCTAATTGGGAGGTAAAGAAAACATTAATAGACCAAGGGAGTTCGACGGATGTCTTACATTGGTCGACCTTCCTCAGGCTCGACTCCTTCTTACAGTAATTCAACCCTATCCTGAACCACTACTCGGCTTTGCCGGAGAACGCATACATACCAGATGATATGTGGACCAAATCACCACGTTTGGTTTGGCTGAGCATAGTAAACGAGTCATGGTCCAGTACATACTCATAGAAGCAGAAACGTCTTGCATGTCCTAATAGGAAGACGAACACTAAATAATCTCGGAGTAGTCGTTTCCACAATACACATGGCAATGAAATTTCCAGCAAAAAGGATGGAACAATTGTGATGGTCAAAGCAGATCCCAAGGAAGCACGAGCATGCTACATTAAAAGCCTAAAGGTCACTCCTTACTCGTTAAAGACCAAGATGGATGAACCAAAGGAAGAAACAAACCATAAAGAATGTTGCACCACACACGCAACAGTTGACCTTGACCCCCAAGATGAATTCAATGAAGATAGGTCGACCTTCAACGAGTAATTGATAGAAGTCAAAATAGGAAGAGAAGAACAAGTAACCAAAATCGGACAAACGCTACAAGTAGAAGATCGGCTTAAACTTATTAACATACTAAAAATAAATAGTGATCTCTTTGCATGGAACCCTTCGGATATGCCTGGTATTGATCCAAACATAATTTGTCATAAGTTAGCATGTTTCACCCACATAAAGCCCATAACTTAGAGGAAGAGAAGGCTATGAGGAAACAAACGCGTAGTCATCCAGCATGAAGTTGAGAGACTCCTGTAAGCTCTGTTCATTAGAGAGGTACCTTATACAACATGACTAGCAAATGTGGTTATGGTCAGAAAATCCAATGGGAAGTGGCGAATGTGCACAAATTACACATATCTGAACAGAGTATATCTGAAAGACTCATATCCCCTGCCGAATATAGATGGGTTTATTGACAACACATCGGGTTATCAACTACTTAGCTTCCTAGACGCATATTCGAGATATAATCAGATTAGAATGTTCCCATCAAATGAAGAGAAAATGACCTTCATGATGGATGGAGCTAATTATTGTTACCGAGTTATGTCCTTTGGCTTAAAAGATGCAGGCACAGCGTATCAACATTTGATGGACATGGTCTTCAAGACCCTCATCGGTCACTGCATGGAAGTCTATGTGGATGATATGGTGGTCAAATCCACTAGTGCTGCTGATCATCTCCTACATTTAGAACAAGTTTTTGAATAAATAAGGCGACACAATCTGAGATTGAATCCTGCAAAATGCATCTTCAGAGTCGAAGGCGGCAAGTTCCTACGATTTATGATTACCCAAAGGGGCATTGAAGCAAACCCAGATAGATGAGAAACTCTCATCAACATTGATGTGAACATGACCTATGATAAGGGCTAGAGCAAGGGAAACAAAGGAAGCTCTTCAACAAGTATTGTTGGTTGACCAAATTGTGTTTTTGATTAATCAATTAATGGGCTTTAGTTTGATTTTGTTTTAAGTTGTAATAAGGGCCCAATTGAAAATTTAGTCATCAGCCTTTGGGAGACCAAGGGGTGCATAGCTGATTGACTTTTGGTTGTCACAGTTTCAGATACAATCAATCATTAAGTAGTTTAAATTCCTAGGTTAATGGATCATTATTAGCCTTTATTTGTTTCCATTAAATAGTTTTCAATTCCTAGATTAATGGGTTATTATTAATATTTATTTTCTTTTATTGAGTCTTTTGTAATTCTGATGGCAACGCTTCTATATCAGCTGAACCATTCTTATCAGAAATAACAAGTTGAATTTTGTTCAGAAATATTAGAGTTTATCTCTTTTATCTTAGTGAGAGTGATTCTCCTAAATTCTTGAGTGATTCAAGAACCCTTGGCTGTATCAAAGTACTTTCACATCCTTTGTGTGTTGTCTTCCTTGGGAAGAGTGATTCTTTCCTTCCACCTTCTTTCTAATTCCTAAATTTCTTACAAGATTCTAACCCTAAAGATCCTAAACTACCCCTTGTGATTCACGTCATTTGGTATTCAGAGCTCTGGTTTAAGGGTTTAAACATCATATTGATGGCAGAAGAGGAAAATTACAATCAAGAAGCAGGAATTAGTCCAATTCAAATGAGAGTATTGGTACAACATTTGGAAGGATTAATAATACGACATAACAATGAGCTCCATGAAAGATTGAACCGGTTGGAGAATAGAAATGCTGAAGACGAAGAAGAAAGGAGAAATAAGAGAATGAATGATGGAGTAACAAGACCAAGTAGGCTTGAAGGAGTCAAGCTTAACATTCCTCCGTTCAAAGGAAAAAGTGATCCAGAAGCATACTTGGAGTGGGAGATGAAAATAGAGCATGTTTTCTCATGCAACAATTATGAGGAGACCCAAAAGGTGAGGGTTGCAACAACAAAATTTTCTGACTATGCTCTTGTTTGGTGGAACAAGCTACAAAAGGAGAGAAATAGAAATGAAGAGCCAATGGTTAATACATGGACTGAGATGAAAAGGATCATGAGGAAGCGGTATGTGCCGGCTAGTTATGCAAGGGACTTGAAATTTAAACTCCAAAAACTTACTCAAGGCAACAAAGGGGTTGAGGAGTATTTCAAAGAAATGGACATGCTCATGATTCAAGCAAAGATTGAAGAAGATGAAGAGGTAACTATGGCCCGATTTATTGGTGGTTTGAATATTGATATATGTGATATTGTTGAGTTGCAGGAGTTTGTTGATATGGAGGATTTACTTCATAAAGCAATTCGAGTGGAGAAACAACTCAAAAGAAAAGAAGTGACTAAGAAGAGTTCTACCAACTTTGGATTTTCAAGTTGGAAGGACAAAGGCAAAAAAGATGGGACTGTTACTTCTAGTAGTTCCACACCTATTCCTACAAAGACTCATTCAAAATATGAAGAACAACCCTCTAAAAAAAGTAGAGATGTGAAGTGTTTCAAGTGTCAAGGCCTAGGACACTATGCTTATGAGTGTCCTAACACAAAGACCATGATTCTTAGAGAGGGAGAATATATAAGTGAATCTGAGGTTGAAGAGGGAGAAAAGAGTGAAGACACTGAGGAGGAAGAAGAGATTCCAAAGGGAGATTTATTGATGATTAGGCGATTACTTGATAGTCAATTGAAACCTATGAAAGAAAACCAAAGAAAAATATTTTTCACACTAGATGTTTAATCAATGACAAGGTGTGCATGATGATCATAGATGGAGGTAGTTGCACTAATGTGGCTAGTGCTAGATTAGTATCAAAACTAAATTTAGCTATCAAACCACATCCTAGACCATATAAACTTCAATGGCTTAGTAAGGATGAAGAGGTGCAAGTGAGACAACAAGTTGAAGTGGACATTTCCATTAGAAAAGACAATGATAAGGTGCTTTGTGATATTATTCCTATGGAAGTCAGTCATTTACTTCTGGGGAGACCATGGCAATTTGATAAAAGAGTTAATCATAACGGGTTCACCAACAAGATTTCTTTCATACACCAAGACAAGAAGATTGTGCTCAAACCTTTGAGTCCACAAGAAGTATGTGAGGATAAAAAGAAAATGAAAGAAAAACTTCTTCAAGAAAAGAGAGAGAAAGAAAGCGTTAATGAAACACTTGAGAGGAAAAAGAGTGATCAAAAGAAGAGTGAAACACTTGAAGTGAAACAGAACTATTTATCCATAAAAAGTGAGTATAATGTTTGTTCTACATTTAATTTGTCAGACTTATCTCTTTTTAATGTAGATGACAAATCCGATTTGAGGACAGATCCTTTTCAAGAGGGAGAGAATGATGTGAACATGACCTATGATAAGGGCTAGAGCAAGGGAAACAAAGGAAGCTCTTCAACAAGTATTGTTGGTTGACCAAATTGTGTTTTGGATTAATTAATTAATGGACTTTAGTTTGATCTTTTTTTAAGTTGTAATAAAGGCCCAATTGAAAATTTAGTCATCGACCTTTGGGAGACCAAGGGGTGCATAGCCGATTGACTTTTGGTTGCCACAGTTTTAGATACAATCAGTCATTAAGTAGTTTTAATTCCTAGGTTAATGGATCATTATTAGCCTTTATTTGTTTCCATTAAATAGTTTTCAATTCCTAGATTAATGGGTTATTATTAATATTTATTTTCTTTTATTGAGTCTTTTGTAATTCCGATGGCAACGCTTCTATATCACTCGAACCATTCTTATCAAGAAATAACAAGTGAAATTTTATTCAAAAATATTAGAGTTTATCTCTTTTATCTTAGTGAGAGTGATTCTCCTAAATTCTTGAGTGATTCAAGAACCCTTGGCTGTATCAAAGGACTTTCACATCC